ACAAAAAATAATATATATATATGAATATAAAATTTCCTCAATGGTATTTTGACTGCACACTTCTAAATGCAAAAAAAATGTATATTGAATTCTCTATATTCTATCTATAAATGATATCTGTGTAATATGAATCTATACAGAAACCCAGGTGATGACTTTTCAGAACATTTCTATTTACATTAAGTTACATTTGTTTTATATCAACAAATAGAAGCCTCACCTCATGTTTTACTCAAATTCTACACAAAACCACTTTTGTTTATTCGTTTATTGGATGATTATTATAAAATATAATTTTTTTAACTAATTCGTAATTTAAAAAATCACTAGTTTGCACGTTTTCATTTTTTATTAAAAACTTAACTTGTACCCCAAAATTTTTCTTCAGGAACAAGATGCAATGTAAGCACATGTCCCAGCAGCCTGCTAGGCACGACAGATAAGTGCATGTATTGGAAAACAACAATCAGCTTGTTCATAATTCAAAGTTGACCCATAGGTCTATAGTAATTATGGCACAGGAACGGGATGGGGGTCTACCAGTGACCAAAATGGATTTGAGGATTTGTGTAGAATTTAATCTGAAACCTTTGAAACAACTCTTAAAGTATAGTATATGTTAATAAACAACTATACAACATATAAAACAAACTAAATTTCCTTTACAATATTTATGAATAATCCACTCCTAAATTGGGAATACCCTTCTCAATACTTTTAGATCTGTGGTAAAATTACATAATAAAATACAAAATTGCAAAAATGATGACTCCAGCCATTAGTATTGTTTCATAATCTGTTCTTATTTTTATCAAATTCTGATTCAAATAGCGAAAATATCAAAATTATGCTTCATTTAGCATTACAAAATTTGTGTTTCAAAATACACTTTGTCGAAAATGAATGGTAACAAAGTACATGTGGCATTCCATAAAAAGTCCATAATACTGATCAACAGGGTTTAAGCTTACTAATAACTTGACTCTAATCAAGAATGGACACTACACCAGTGCCTCTTTGTTTGACCAGTTCAGATGTTCATTATTACAAACACAATTCATGTACAAGTACAAATTATAGTCACTTCCATATTCACATCCCAATATCTCTAGATATATGTATATGCTTTATTCCATCCATGGTGTGGATATCCATTCCATTAATAACCATGTCCAAAATGTCAGCTTAGATTCAAATAAAAGTAATTATTCCAGAGTTTCCAAGGGAATTTTAAGCTGCCTGATCATTATACAATATATGGTAATAATAGTAATCATTTGACCATATATGGTCATTTTCACAATGATTCTACCCAACTGGCCACTATAGCAATCATTTTACCATATATGGCTGTATGAATCATTAAACCATATATGGTTCTGTATGGCACTGTCTCAGAAATTGTACAGGCAAGCAGTTCTTCTATATATGCTCTATATACAACTGTACAGTCTGGCTCCAACCTAAGACTTACTTAGGTGGACTTATTGACATATTCATTGTAGGAGGACTGTTAGATAGAGGACTCCTGGCAAGGGGACTTCCTCCGTAGCTCATTAAGGGACGATCCGCATCCTCCATAGAGATACTCCTCTGCCTGATGCGTTTCGAATCAACATTTACCATTGGCACTGCACCCACTGAAAAAGGTTAAAGATAACAGGTTTTAAAGTTAACAACAGGTAAATGCAAGTTTATCCTAGTTTTGATTGAACCAACTAGCTGCAACCTACAACAAATGACATCATCAATCTAGCCAATATATCATAGCTTCATTCCTACAACAAATGACATCATCAATCTAGCCAATATATCATAGCTTCATTCCTACAACAAATGACATCATCAATCTAGCCAATATATCATAGCTTCATTCCTACAACAAATGACATCATCAATCTAGCCAATATATAATAGCTTCATTCCTACAACAAATGACATCATCAATCTAGCCAATATATCATAGCTTCATTCCTACAACAAATGACATCATCAATCTAGCCAATATATCACAGCTTCATTCCTACAACAAATGACATCATCAATCTAGCCAATATATCATAGCTTCATTCCTACAACAAATGACATCATCAATCTAGCCAATATATCATAGCTTCATTCCTACAACAAATGACATCATCAATCTAGCCAATATATCATAGCTTCATTCCTACAACAAATGACATCATCAATCTAGCCAATATATCATAGCTTCATTCCTACAACAAATGACATCAGCAATCTAGCCAATATATCATAGCTTCATTCCTACAACAAATGACATCATCAATCTAGCCAATATATCATAGCTTCATTCCTACAACAAATGACATCATCAATCTAGCCAATATATCATAGCTTCATTCCTACAACAAATGACATCATCAATCTAGCCAATATATCATAGCTTCATTCCTACAACAAATGACATCATCAATCTAGCCAATATATAATAGCTTCATTCCTACAACAAATGACATCATCAATCTAGCCAATATATCATAGCTTCATTCCTACAACAAATGACATCATCAATCTAGCCAATATATCATAGCTTCATTCCTACAACAAATGACATCATCAATCTAGCCAATATATCATAGCTTCATTCCTACAACAAATGACGTCATCAATCTAGCCGATATATAATAGCTTCATTCCTACAACAAATGACATCATCAATCTAGCCGATATATCATAGCTTCATTCCTACAACAAATGACATCATCAATCTAGGCGATATATCATAGCTTCATTCCTACAACAAATGACATCATCAATCTAGCCGATATATCATAGCTTCATTCCTACAACAAATAACATCATCAATCTAGCCAATATATCATAGCTTCATTCCTACAACAAATGACATCATCAATCTAGCCAATATATCATAGCTTCATTCCTACAACAAATGACATCATCAATCTAGCCAATATATCATAGCTTCATTCCTACAACAAATGACATCTTCAATCTAGCCAATATATCATAGCTTCATTTCTACAACAAATGACATCATCAATCTAGCCAATATATCATAGCTTCATTTCTACAACAAATGACATCATCAATCTAGCCAATATATCATAGCTTCATTCCTACAACAAATGACATCTTCAATCTAGCCAATATATCATAGCTTCATTTCTACAACAAATGACATCATCAATCTAGCCAATATATCATAGCTTCATTTCTACAACAAATGACATCATCAATCTAGCCAATATATAATAGCTTCATTCCTACAACAAATGACATCAATCTAGCAACAAATGACATCATCAATTTAGCCAATATATCATAGCTTCATTGATACCAAAAGGTGACAGTGTTTATAGAAAGGTCTACTGGATGAATTCTTTTCATGAATTATATCATTTTCAAAAAATTAGTTCAGTAATTATCTGGTAAAATATTTTTTATGAACTACACATAGTTACAGAGCAGATACTGTATGGAGGTGAAATCATAGAAACTTAATAAAAAATAGGCTTAATCCTAAATCAAGGAAAGTCAATACTGTACATGTAATTCACTTTGAAACTTTGAAAAAGACTAATCTCGGTTTGGAGAACAAAGTTCATCAGTCTACTGCATGTTACGCCTGCTTTGGTCAATTTTTACATGTTGTAGATTTAAATGTCCTCTTTTGAATATCCATAATTTAATTGTGATATTTCAATATTTTTCATAACAAAATTATAAGCCCAGGAGAATGTTCTCCAAACTGACACTTGTAATCAAAAGAATTGACATACAGGATAGTGATTATAGGTAAAAATGTTTTTATATGTTTTAATGTAATCTGAGCTTATTTGTTGTTGCATCTTCAAGGAGGGCATTAAACTCAATATTGCAAATATAATTTCCGGATGAATGTCACCAGACATTGACAAATTGCTGAAATATCGATGATTATTTCTAAAGCATGTTTGTGGATTCAAATCTTCCTGTGAACAACTTAAACAGAACAGGCTTACAATCCATCAACTCGATGATTAAACTATTTCTCCAGAATGAAGGAACATAATCACCTCCTCCAAGAAAATTCCTGCTCATTGTGTACCTCATTTACAACTAATGTGATTGGTTTTATGTTGAGGGATCAATGGGAGCCTAAGTGGGTGAAATAAGGTCCTCTTGGCCTTTTTGAGTTTATGCAGATGTTAACTTACTTTTCCCACATCCCTGGAGAAAGTATAGGAAACTCTCACACAGTTTCTGCGGCTGAAAACACAACAGATACAATGGTCTATTACATAACATATATACAATAAAACCAGTATATTCAAACACCCGTCTAATCTGAAGATCTCTCAATGTGGACCCTTTATTCAGTCCCATTTTTTCATGTTAAAAAAACCTTGGAATATGAACACCTGGCATTGGGATTAGACAGATTTACTGTACTCAATTTTTACTGTTTGGTTGAAACTCAATTTAAAGACAGCCCCTGAAGTAAAATTATTAATTAGAATACCTGTGTTAAACTTGTTCAACAAGACACAAGACCAAAGCTACTAATGCAGATTGAATCATAAGTCTGGTATCAAATAGTAATAAAAATGTTCTATAAAGATGTGATCACTTTTTGGTGAAAACCAAAGGAAAGTCAAATTGGCTTGGGAATCTGGCAAATGAATGGAATATCCATCAAAAAAGTAATTAATTTTGTTTTAACTTGCTAAAATCTATTTGATCAAGTCATTTGATCAAAGTCAATATTTGGCTTAACTCATTTACAATGTATAGGCCTATAAGAGATGTTAATTTCAAGAATACCTACCCTTTCTTCAAGTACATTGGCACAGTTCTCCACCTGTAGGAACTCCACTTTGGTTTTATCTTTGCAGACCTTTAAGAGAGACTGGTGAAAGTTGTAGACAGACTTGTTCTGCTTTGCCTGAGACCCAGTCACGATCAGAATGTTGTTCCTACAACCAAACATGCACATTCTCATCTAGTAATTGAATGATTGGATACATTGAATCTTGGATGGTTCACAATCTACACTCCTCTTCACTTATCTGGCAACCTTGACTCTCTATTGAAAAGCTGTTTCAAATTCAGGCTAGTATTTAGAATTAGTGTTGCCAAACTTTTGATTGGGAGTGTATCTATACTGATTACCATCAATACATAAACTAATAATTTAGCAATGGCAAGAAATTCAACATTTTCTACTTGAATATTTCATCCTCCGAACGCAAAGCTCCAGACATCCAGAAATCATCCACTACATTCCTTGAATGAGGTACAAGTTCTGGAGACCTGTGTTCGGAGAATGAGAGTATTTACGATTAAAACAATATAATATTGACATGTAAAGTTGGATCATAAGCATATTGCTTGTATGTATATTAAATAATTCAAATTTTTAGCCATTCAAGTATATGACTTCTCTATAGGTTAACTGAAGTTCTTCATTGCTTTAAATGTCATCCCAGGGACTTTGCATGCTAATATACAGGGAATCATTAACCTGGATTCATTTATTTAATTCAACAAAGGAGTTCAATTAATGATACACAGGACTATAATCCATAAAATGATTTTTCAATCAAATTACTCATTAGTACTGGTAGTTAAAAATGTCAAATTAATAATAAAAGTCAGTGGAAATTATTTAATTTAATGAAAATAAAATGTGTTCTATGAAGATATTCCCAACATGCAGGTGGTATATGGTTTAACATTACATAAATAGGTGCAAATAGATGCAACATTGGAACTGGGGGTAACAGGGTAAACCCAGGGGATAGGTAGGGAGGTTTACTACTGCTCTAGGGAATCAAGAGAGGGTCAGAGATAAAAGAATATAGATTCCCATGCATGCAAGAACAAGGCATTAACATAACAAAATGTCACTGGTTACGATTCAGAAAATGTAACCAGTGTTACGGACACTGACTGAATGCATATGTTACAGCCAATGACTGAATGCAAAGTGCTTGCTACAATATATGCTGGAGAGAATAATGTGTCACCACTTCCCTGTGGTGACATAAAACAATATTACAAAGAAATATATATTTGGTAATATGCTTGTGAATATAGACATCAGTGGTGCAAGTTAATAGTGCAAGGGCCTTATAAGTGAAATATTTTATTGTGATCGGAATAAGGACTTTGACTTATTCTTAATCTTCTTCAATAATGTGCAAAATTATATAAAGTGTAAAATAATTGTTTTCATTAAACAGCATGTATGAATAATCAAATCAATCAAGCAGTTGTGAACAGTAAAATGATTTATATCGCAATGAAGATAGCTAAAGAAATATGACATTGAGTTCTGACTGCATTTACTAAACAGCGTGTACTAAAAATCATATCAATCAAACAATTTTGAAGTGTAAATGATTTACAAATAATGAGAGTGGAATTCTATTAAAGAATATGACAATCAAGTTCTGACTTATTACTGGTCATTTGATCCAAGTATAACTTCCCTCTTATACCGTATGTATGACTAATGAATAGAAAGTATTTTGTAAATAAAGTATTTGCTGTTAATTTAGACAATACAACAACATGATGCAGACAAGGGTGAAACTGGGAGAGAGAGGAACATTGTACAGGGTATCATATACAATACATGTTAATCCACTCAACTACAAAACTGGTTGTATTTGAGATCAAGTGTGATATATCAATCGAAAGAACATTCATTGTCAATGTTTGGTAATCCACTAAACTTCAGAAAGAATACGATGAACTCTTGCATCAGGATTTTCAAAGGTTATCATCAAGTGTGAAATCCCCTAACTTTTCAGTTATTTTCCAATCACTTAAAATTCTCTTTTTTAGAAATTCCATAACCATTTGAGTCATTTTTGAGGCAATTCTGAAAAGTTCTCTTGACTTTTCCTTGACTGAGGTAACCCTGTCCGATGATGATTATAATATTAATTTGAATGCTCTTTCCAATGGTATATCAAACTCCAAATTTGGCTGTCGGGGAAAAAGGGCTTATTTGACACACTGTTTGGGTTAAAAATGAACATGTAACATTATGCATGCATGCTCCAACATGACATAATAACAACAGAGTTATTGTCGGACAAGATTTATCCCATGTAACCCCTCATACCCAACATATATATTGTTAACTTGAGATAATATCGTATCCAACTCAAACTCGTATTAAGGGTGGGCCATAAGATCTAGGAGGACCTAACATTCTTTGCACTGGATTTGTCCAAACCTCAAGCTTAAAAGAAGGATCCCAATGTGTCAGGCCCGTAGCCAGAATTTTCCAAGGGGGGTTCACTTATCCCAAATTTGGCCAAAAATCACTCAAAAAATAGTCAGAATGGTGTAAAACTGCATGATTTTGAAAGAAATTTTGGCCAGGTTCCCCCGAACCCCTCCTGGCTACGGGCCTGTACCAAGTTGACGGATTTTCAGATTAAATATAATACTGTCATGTCAAATAGTCAGATATTTTCCTGAAAAATGATAGGTCCCCTGAGATTGAATAGCCCTAACCCACCCACAAGGTAACATCAGACACCATCGTAGAAATAAATGTCAGAAAATTTGTAAACGAACACTGCAGTGTGTTTACTATATTTTTGTTTTTTTAAAAATGCTTTTCCATATGAAAAGTACATTTTCATAGTTTGTATTTTAAATTTCTGACAAACATTTCCTCAATCTTCAAGTAACCTGAATGACCCAAACTATCCATACTGGCCATACACTTTTAATAACAGGGGTACTGTAACCAGACAGTATGCCAAATATGGAATCATTTAGTGCTAGGAGGGGTCTCTTTATAGGATAGAAAACACTGGGTCCAACCTCACCTGTGTCTGTAAGTAGAGAAGATCAACACAATGAAATTAAAATACAACAATCTACATGTAAATCAACTATATATGATGTAAATCAAACAATATGACGGGGTCTAATCACTGTCTAGATGTGTAGACTGATAACAGGGTTGACTGAATCATGCATTGTGCTCTATTAAAGATGGGAATTGATTGATTCCAGGTAGCAAGCTCTCAAAAACTAAGATGCATTACGGAACACAATTACAACAGTTAAGATCTCCATAGCAACATCCTAAATTAACAATTATTGCTTTAATATGGATCGTTTTTTAAAAATTGTAGTTATTAAGGTAGATGTCTGTTATTAAAGGTGGTTTTGAGAAAACTAAGAACACATAGTGGGGCGGGGAGTTGATAATGAATAAGGTAACGTCAAATATTATCCAATGAGGAGGACAATGTTACTGAGAGTTGACATTTATTAATTCATGATTTTTTCGTTTATGCTTTGAAACGTTTTCTGGTTGATTAACCTCTTGATCACTTTTCATAATTTTAACCCCTTGCCTTCCAATTTCTCTTTTTACTCCCTTATTTCACACTTCCAGAAACCATATAACCTGTATGTTCCAACCCTGTTAAAGAACCAATGACATTGCAGCCATGTGCAATGAATATTCCTACATGCAACAATAATCACACCCACTTAGTCTTCAAGCACATGTGACATTCCATAATAAAGTACTTTAATCCCTATTTATATCAAGCTTTAACACATGCTTGTCTGACATGTTCAACAGAGTAGTGTCTCCATTCACTTGAATAATGTAAATGAGCCAATTGCTTGAAACAATTTCAAATGTTTCAAGTTTGAAAACTTTGTTTAGGGCCTATTGGTATTTTGTTTTGTAATTGTGCCACCTAAGAATTGTATAAGGGAGACTCAGGTTCAAACAGCTCCAATTCAGTACAAATTGTACAGGTTGTTTCAAAATGACTGTTACCTCAACTAAAAACAATCTTAGACCACACACCCCCCCAAATTAATAAATGATGAAATACCCTACATAAATATTAGGAAATGGGTAGAATAAAAGACTTACTGAAGTTTCTCCAAGCTGTCCATGATATTGGTCCTCCTACAATCACAGTGATATATTAGCTGCATTCTGGTGATATATAAGCTAATAAATACAATGTACATTAGTGATTAGTACCGGTAGTTATTTACTGGGAGGTACTACATATGGGTTCTATTCCAATGGACAATATGATATTGACCCAGGGAGTTTGGTGACCCCGGAGTGAATATGAGATACATTCTATCCTAAAGATTGTTATACACTATCGTTGTGATACAATATTAAGTACATATTGTTATTTGATTTTAAATAATAAATATAATGACGCTTCCCATGATGACCATTGCAAAAATATGTTAGGAATGATTTTCAGTATAGTTTGAAAATTTCGTAAAAATGAAAGAAAACAATCCTGAATTATTCAGTTGCAGCTTATATAATAATGTCATTCAACGTAATACAATCTCATGATGTAGTCTAATGTACAAAATAGAATTCGTAGAAATAGCATATTATTTGTTATATAAATGTTTCTATTTTCACTCTAGAAATGGCATCTAACCTCATGATGCCAGACATCTAACTCGCGAAAATATAAGTTCACTTAATACACTGAATTTGACAGGAAATCAAAAAGTGCATTTCCAAGAATAACAAGTGTTTTACAGGTGGTCCCAAAAAAATTGTACCACGACAAATATGGAATTACTGTTAGTGATAAAGTAGTATACTTGAAATTTTAGTCATCTGACAAACTTATAACTCTATTTATTGGGAAGGCTTGTTTTTGTACCACCTAACATATTCCAATGTTGTTCCCACCACCCATATTCAAATGTTTTATTGAAACAAATATGGGATAACTCTGTGAGTGAGGAGGTAAATATTCCTGAAATTAAGTCACTGGCAGAAAATTCAAAAGCCATTAAGATCTGAAAGCATCACCAGGTAACTTCATTTAGTTTTAGAAAAAACTGGTTTTAGTCCCATCACCCATTTTTCCATGTCTGGAATGAGTTTTAAGAACAAGATAAGGCCTCAATAGAGTCAGAACTATATGTCTGTTTAGCAGTACCTACAGTCCTAGTCATTTAAAAATATCAAAACTCGTCTGCCCCAAAAAATTAATTTTCCATTTTACCTCATTTTGACCAAAAAATCATAATTTTGAGTAAAAATGAAACCTAAAAATTCAGTAATTCACTTTAGAGAACTATATTTTTCACAAAACAGATACTTATTACCGGGTAGGGATTTAATTTGTTTGAACAAATAGAGGCTTACTTCATGAAAGCATCCACAAACTTTCTCAAGTTCTTGACATTCAGACCCTTTAGACTGGCTTGGAACTTGTCAATGATGGATTGCAGATCTTCTTTATTACTGGTCCCTTCAATCTGTAACCATAGAAATGTTTGTTACTATAGAAACACATTTGTTATGACACAATTTGGTTAATGATAATGTTTATTGTAATATTATCTTATTATTGATAGTAAAACCTGGGTATGTTGACAACATTATAAGGTGAACACTTTACTCTGTCCTATTAAGGGAGACCCCATATGAACACCTCTCACTTTGAAAACTTTGAACAAGTTCCAGCAGTATTCATTTTAAACAGATTTTACACTACAATACTAGTTTCACATTGTGATCTATTTTATCAATTTCACCAGGATTAAAGCCAAAGTTTTATGAATGTTTTCTTTATATCCTTGACTGAAGAAGCTATAAGGACCATTGAATTCATACATAAATTGATTGATTGAGTCTATATCTGATAATGGCATTTCATTCAAGTGTTCTATATGCTAAGTGAATTTATTTTCTGAAACTAAGTAAGCCTGTGTCAATAAAACTACAGAGGTCTTTTGCGGCTGTAAATTAAAAAAATACTGATAATTTTATCAAATTGTAATGAATTTCCCTGAAAACCCCTGAATTCACTTGGAGATAGTACTGTATAACAATGATCTTATAACTCATGACAGATTTCTTTCCTTGAATTTTTAAGTCTATTTGTAGTATGACACTACACCCCTCCCCTACCCAATTTCCACACATATGGATAAACTTACATAACTTCACATGTACTAATAACATACAATCTTAAAAATGAGATCATGCATCACATGAATATAAAATGCACAATTGAATGATTGATTGAAGCTTCCAATTTTGAACTGTGATGAGGTTTTGTTCAATTTATTGAAGCTTCCAATTTTGAACTGTGATGAGGTTTTGTTCAATTTATTGAAGCTTCCAAGATTGAACTGTGATGAGGTTTTGTTCAATTTATTGAAGCTTCCGATTTTGAACTGTGATGAGGTTTTGTTCAATTTATTGAAGCTTCCAAGATTGAACTGTGATGAGGTTTTGTTCAATTTATTGAAGCTTCCAATTTTGAACTGTGATGAGGTTTTGTTCAATTTATTGAAGCTTCCGATTTTGAACTGTGATGAGGTTTTGTTCAATTTATTGAAGCTTCCAAGATTGAACTGTGATGAGGTTTTGTTCAATTTATTGAAGCTTCCAAGATTGAACTGTGATGAGGTTTTGAGCCGTCATCTTCCAATCTTGGATTTAAAAAAAATTCAATTCATAAATAATACTACAAGTTATTGAATGATTTGAAGTGGAATACAGGATATATTCTGCTCGAGAAATTCTGTACTGGAATGAGACGAAGTCAAGTGCCAATACAGACTATCGAGAGCAGAATATATCCTGTATTGCACTTCAAATCATTCTAAAATGTTTTTATCCTGTGATCTTCTGTATTGCTACTGAGAATGTCTCCTCTGTACCAATATCTTCTGTATTGCCACGGAGATGATCGATGGGGACAATCTCAGTAGCAATATAGTTTGGTACAGCACAAGAACTGACCAATCAAAAGGCTTCATTTTACAGATCATACGATAAACATTGCACCAGCTAACGTAACAAAGCCAGCAAATGAAACGAGAACTTATAACACAGCCATATAATAGACACACAGAGAGCAAATGAACATAATGAATTCCAACAATATGTTGTCATTCTTTCATTTTTATAAATGTTATCCTAATCGATCAATAGTTGCTCTTTAATTATAAACATTAAGGTTAAACTGACAGAGTTATTTACTTGAGAATGGTAAAATGAATTGGCAACGGTGAAGAGAATCCCAAGACCTAAAAATTTGATTTGAGCCGAATTTCACTCAAAAAATTGTATGAATTTGAATTGAGAATCATTTTTTCAAGATCTCGAGGCCTGTACTAATTAAGAACATATTACACCCATTAGCCTGACAAATATGAATTGAGGTGGTTGTCTACTCGGAGGCCGAAGAATATTTAAAAAAAGTATATACATATATCTTTATATTAAAATGACCTTGATTAATTATGCTTCATAATTAAACAAGTTTTCAAGTATGTTGAACAGACACACACAGACACACATGGATCCTCCCCCTTCTAAAAAATTTCTCTGTAATATGGCAAAATGACCCCATCACCATATATATAACATTACTCATCCCTTTCCAATCCTGTAGTCATTCTAAAACCCATCATTCTTTACAAAACTCATCTACCAGTGACAAGAATACCTACTACTTTTTATAAACTAATATTTACTTGTCCCATTAATTAAAGAATCTATGATACAGAGTTACACTGACTCGACATACACAGACAATACATGGTTGAAGATACAGTCCATATAGGCCAACAAATATGCAAACATTTGGTTAGTTTATCTCAATATACAGGCGGCTTACATGGGACATTAACTGAAGAGACAATAAGTCTACCATCCAAGGTTCAATATTGTCACAATAAAGCATCCTCCAAATGCAGGGCTCCAGATATCTTATTAAAATAAAAAGGAACAGAGCGAATAATTTCCGAAGCCCTGCGTTAAGATGATGCCATAAACTGTCATGGGTATAGCACATGTTACCCCTATGCCCTGGTTTGGTGTAGTTTGCTTTAACTGTTCTCCCAATATTTTTTGCATGTGATTGAATTTTGTTAAAATCGTGAAAATTTACTATACATAAGGTAACTTAGCTTACACAGCTTGAGGATTCAGAGAATAATTAAATTCAAACTTGTGAAATCCGGAAAATTTAACAGCCGCGAAATTAAAACTCTGATATAGCAACCGGGAGTACAGTATAATACATTCAGATTCATTTTCATTGGACCTCAAGCTTCCCACTTGATCACCAAACATCTTCCTGTTCAAAGGGGCATGATTCTAATATACTGCTACGCCCATGACTGTCATTTGACTAAATGAAGATCACCCCTGGTTGAATTGTTTTACCTCAGATGATGGACTGAGTACATATTAGAGAGATTTTGCAACCCAACATGTGTTTATTATAAATCTCCATATGTTTTTAAGTTTACATGTCATATCACTTGCCTCATTATCCCATATATTTTAACCCATACCTATATTTTTATTATAGAAAACAGCAACTCCACAGAGTAGCAAATCTTTTCCAAACAAAACATATTAAACAGATTAAAAAAAGGTTGAAAATGATCGGTCACGAGATGTACATGTACGTTATTTACTTTAAAGCAGAAAATATGGATCATTTTGAATTTGGAGTCAATTCCTTTTAGATGTAGAGATTGTATAAACTTAAACTATATATTTTCATTTGAACAAGAAGACTTCGGCAGCAATTTTGTAGCAAAATTGTAGGCATTTAGAATTGAGTGGCTACATTGAAGATTCCTTCTTAAGCAGAGGTCCTCTTTCAAAAAATGATTCAGTCAATAAAATGAACCAAATTGGACAAGCAGTATTCCAGTTATCACCTGGACACACCAATGGATGAATGGACACAGTAATGGATGAATGGACACACTAATGGATGAATGGACTGACGGACGGACAGACAGACAGACATGACAGATGAATGGCTTTTCAGTATATCCCTAAATGAACTTTGTTCAGTGGGATAATAAGTGAACTTTTATTAGCCATTAACACATGTTTTAGTTTCATTTTAACAAAATCTCTCTTATAATACACAGTATAGCCACAGTCTGCTGAACTGGAATACTGGCCAAACCAATCTATCTATACATAGTACATACTTGTAGGGGTCCCAACGGGGCATATTTAATTCAATTTCATCATTTACATCAAAATTTTAAGAAAAATTATTTTATTTTTGTCTCTTTTATTATAACCATTTGAATCCTTTACCTTTTTTCAATAATATTGTGCCTTTGCATCCATTATTATACACCCAGTGGATAAAACCATACACTATTTTTTATTCAAAACCCCTCTTTTCCAATGTCGTTCTCCCCATTAGGGTCCCCACATATGACTTACCATAGAGTTGAGTGTAGTGGACTGAATACAGACAAAGGAAATTATTAAATGCTACAACATCAATATTTCACGACAATATCATCTAAAATTGTCTAGATTTACCTATTTAGTAATGGTGTTTCAATTTATTACATAATCAAAATATCACTAGATGACTAGTAACACTAATTTTGTACCCTCATCAGTATATATCCCCACACTGATATAAGCAATACAAGTATATGTATGCGAATGGTGAAAAATGCTAAACAAAATAGTGCAAAAACAAGTACAAGGAGGTTGAATCAGAAAGCTGGTGAGGAATAAACTGAACTCATCAGTCCATGTGGTGGGAAATAGCTGAAAGGGCATAATGTGCAATTGTAAGTTGTGTGATAATGAAAGCTTGCATAATAATTTGAAGAATATGTGTGACACAAGTGATAATTTGAAGAATATTTGTGACATAAGTAACAATTTGAAGAATATTTGTGCCATTAGTAATAATTTGAAGGGTATTTGTGACAGTGATAATTTGAAGAATATTTGTGACATGAATGACAATTTGAAAAATATTTGTGACATGAGTGATAATTTGAAGAATATTTGTGACAAGAGTGATAATTTGAAGAATATTTGCCACATGAGTGATAATTTGAAGAATATTTGTGACATGAGTGACAATTTGAAGAATATTTATGACAAGAGTGAAAATTTGAAGAATATTTGTGACAAGAGTGACAATTTGAAGAATATTTGCGACATGAGTGATAATTTGAAGAATATTTGCGACATGAGTGATAATTTGAAGAATATTTGCGACATGAGTGATAATTTAAAGAATACTTGTGACAAGAGTGACAATTTGAAAAATATTTGTGACAAGAGTGATAATGTGAAGAATATTTGTGACATGAGTGTCAATTTGAAGAATATTTGTGACATGAGTGACAATTTAAAGAATATTTGTGACAAGAGTGACAATTTGAAGAATATTTGTGTCATGAATGACAATTTAAAGAATATTTGTGACATGGATGACAATTTGAAGAATATTTGTGACATGAATGATATTGTGAAGAGTATGTTTGATTATTTATCCTTCTGGCACCTTGGATGTGACATTCACTCTTTGCATGGGTTAAGTGACATCTATTGTTAGTGTGAGATGTGACCTTAAGCATAGAATGTGACAATAAAGATTCATTAAAACTAAAAGCCAGTAATGACACAAGCAAAGACTTTGAAAAGCAGAGAGAAAAGATCTGGTGAAAGTATATGCATGAATCAATACAACTATTTAATATTTAGTGTTGAAAATAGCATATTGAGCCATGCATGGGTTAGTATAGACTTGTTAACTCACTCTCAGCTAACAAAAAAGTAAAAGATGAGAAATGTTAGAAAGAAATTTAGATGGATGGTCAGTTTCGCAAAATGTGGATGACTTGTATCTATTAAAACAGTCCAAGGATTTGTCTATCCACCTTTTGAAAAACATAACATCAAATAATGATATAATTCTGACATACAGGGTGAGGGAAAAATGTTTCACTTTTTGTGCAGAAAGTTCTAGTCAACTAATTTTAAGGGAATGCCTTTATCATGAAATTACATAAGGCGACTTAATTATAATACTATAGTTACTTTTAAAATGACCTGATGGTGTTAATTTGCAAGAAATGAGAAATTTATTGAGTCACCCTGTACATGTATATGTAAGATATTAGAAGCAGTAAGTATAAGACACCTTATAATGAAAAAATTGAAAATCAAACTACAGTAAGTAAGGTGCCTAAAAATCAGACAATACACACAATAATGAGTTCAACAATGCAGAAACTGAGAAAAAGCATAAGATATTACTTGCTAAACTAAAGAGATATTACTTGCTAAACTAAGGAGATATTACTAACTTAAGGAGATATTACTTGCTAAACTAAGGAGATATTACTAAACTAAGGAGATATTACTTGCTAACATAGGAAGGGAGAGATTACTTACTGAACCGAATCTGTGAAGGACGAGGTATGTCTCAGCTGAGGGGTTCATGCCGCTGTGTTCAAGACGAAGCTGGATGACTTTGTCTTTGATGGATGAAAGGAAACCAGCAGTTGTTCCAGTGCAATGGATCAGAACAATCCCCAACACACGATTGGGATGAGCCATCTATGTAGTAAAAAGAAATTCTATAACATTCATGTAAACTGTCATCTAAACCAAGTTAATATATATCATACGCAATACTATAGAGAAAATATTTAACATATCCAGTGTCTTAAAGTACAGTATCAAAATATTTCATCATGTTAATAAATACAATTATTTGTTTTATTACTTGATATTTGGATTCTTTACTTACAGCGAACCTGGCCAGAATATTTGCCCCTGCGCCCTCACCAAAACAAACAACCTCTTTGATGCTGCAAAATAACAATACTAAAAAGTATTAAAATGAAAAAAGTTTTGATACAATTTGTTACAGATGCAAAAGCTGATAATAAAGACCAGTCATAATTACAGGGGCTACAACAATGTGTTTCAATGTTTTGGTAGTGACATGATAAAAAGACAAACAGACAAGTAATTTTATTTCAAATTTGGTGTTCTAACTCCAATTAGTTTCTGAGAAAGAGCTCTATTTGCGTTATTTGTTGATCACCCCTTGTACCATTGCATGATATCATTCATAAAAGATTTGATAGTTATTTTCATTCAGTGTTTCAAAAACATTGCTTAGTGCACCTTCGCTTGCTTGCTTTTGATGTAATGTGCCATTTACTCACCTGAGTTGGTCAATGACGTTGATCAGGGACTGTCCCATCTGTTGCATTGTAGGAAATACATAGCTGAAAGTAAATAGTTATCCATAAAATGATTTGAGGTAAAATTCATGGTGTTTTATGTTTAGGGGTTCCAGCGTATCACTGATTGAACAAGGCATTAACATACAAAATGTCACCACCTGCCATATGTTACAGATGCCGAACACTAAATGCCAAACACTGTCCACAAAAAAGTTGGAGACTATAACAATATGTCCCCACTTGTGGTGGTGATATAATAAACTAGAGACAGCATCGTAGGATATGTGTAGATGAGAGGAAAAAATGTTGAAGTCTAAGATTGTCATCTCACTACAATTTTGAAACATGGAAATGATTTCTATGTATAGCATGTTTATGTTTTACAATTGCAAAATGACATAACAGAGAGCAAAATAATATTGAAGAATTTATGATCTGGTATAGAATTCCCATTATATAACAATATTGATTATATCTCTTCTGATGTATGTTGGATATTTGATGTTGGAACATTGTGACACTCAAAGATCACCCAAGCTGCTATATATTCAAACTGATTAGGATGTGGTATAAATCGTGTTTAATAGCTGTTTTTGTTTGGAATTACATTGAATCAGCAGCATAAATCAGAAATCAAAAGCACTCAATAGATTAGATATCCTGTGTATTAATGCAACCCGGAGCTGAACCTGCTTGATTCAATACTTGTGATAGTTTATTGGGACTACAAAGGATTTAGGGATTGGTTTATTGGATACAGCCATCTTCATGAATATATTATTGATGAATTAGGATTTTCAATCAAATACCTAATGGATGTTTCTGCAGAGAAAGCCAAAATAATTCAAATGAATGTTGTAATTCACAGAGCAAGGCACAACAAGGCATTAACATGCAAAATGTCACCACCTGCCATTTATTAAAGATGTCAATCACCAAATGCTGACCACGAAACTCCAACCATCATCCACAAAAAAGTTGGAGACTATAACAACTATGTCACCACTTCTGGCGGTGGTGACATAATAATTCAAGTGGATACAAATGTATATGTTACTGAAGAACACAATTTGAGGAATATCTTTGAAAATAAATTCACCAACTACAATTTATTTAGAGGTATACAAGAACTCCTCATATGTAATACAGCAATCTATATGCACATCAGCCAGACCAGCGGGTCATAAAAGAAATACTTCGTTAATGTGGGCTAATGAAACATTTACTTCTATTACTCTATGTGAGATACTCTACACAAAGTCACGCAATCACTATCGAGATGCCAATAAAAATCCTATGAATTTTGCCATAAATTGAGATTGCCTTAGTGACATTGCTGTTGAGAGGGATGCTTCTATTATGTTAGTTTAGGTAGTTGTATACCCAGAGGCCTAAAAATAACTTTAAGATAAAGTGTTCATATGTTTTATATTAAAATGACCAATACATTCAATTTTACTTTATAATCAAATAAACGTCATTTTTTACTTAAAGCTGGAAAACATTTTGCTCCCACATGTTAAGGAATGTTTCACCAGAGACTAGAAATGAGATATAATAGTTTACTATGATGATATTCCCTCCAAACTTAACGACGATTTATAATTTTTGCATACTGGAAAGTTGAAGAAAATGAAAGTCATCAAGTCACCTTCAGTACTTCATTTTTTACTATTGCTTCCGAGAATTTGTCAATTTTATAGATGATTTTGGAGAATATTTTGCTATTTATGTATCATTCAAAATGCTAAAAATATACTAAAAATGCCATTACTGGGTATAATTCATTCAAATCATGTTTATTGATAAATGAAACTACTATGCAAAGTATAATTAAAGCAAACTGTATGTGTTGATAAAACTTATTTTTCAAAAGTGTGATATCACATTTATATCTTGTAAAGCTGAACACGAAAATGATTGGTCCTGTGCTATAGCATGGCGCCATCTATTGCCTCGTACAACTTCCTTAATGAACAATGAGGAAGGTTGGATAAGGATGGTCTAGTGGATTCTGTTAATTAATAACTTTTATATAATGAATCCTTTCAAATAAATCATATACTGTATACCAATTGATTGAGAACAGAAGTTCGAAATGGCTATATAAGACCACGCTTAACTCGATGGACTATTACCATAGCCATCAAAAATCAAAAAGTTAGCTCGAAATATTATTTCCATTATCATATAACATTATTTCTCAAATCATATAAATGTAGATTCTCACGGATGGTTGTCATCCTTTTTTTAACTAGGTTTTGCCTACACCTGTATGTAAGAGTTAAAGTGAAGGTTGCTGAAGAGAAAAGCAAAAATGTTTAATATGTTGCTACAGAGCAAGGTAAAAGGTTGAAGTATATATTGCATATAGAACAAGACACACAAGCTCAAATGAATGTTGCTATAGAGCTTGGCATAGGTTCATGTGTATGTTGCCATAGAAAAAGGCAAAAAATGTGCAACTGTATGCTGCTATAAAGTAAGGCACAAAATTTCAAGTACTTCTTGCTCTACACATCGACTACATCTAGACACAAAAGTTCTTCTAACCATATCCTATGGTCTTGAATTGTAATTATGGTTCCTGAATGGTGGGGATGAGGGTTATTAGATAATTATTTCTGAATTTTATATGCTAGATCCTAGTTTGGGATATTTGGGGTTTGCTTTCCCTTTTGACTGGTTGTTCTCTTAATGATTCATTTCCTCGCTTTGTTTTAACACCTTAGTGGTATTTCCCATTGGCATGACTGTGCATACATATCAATAGTAATCTAGTACCAGTACTAGGTGACTTTCTTGCACTCTGTGACAAACTTTCATTCATGCATCAGTGATTGCCGTGCAAATGATTGGGTTCATCAAGTTTCTCATTTGGAACATGAACATATATTATACAGTATAAAAGTAATAAGCTCAACCAGGTTATTTCAAAGAATTTAAAACCTGTCTCATCTTATGCTTGTTCCAGCATAATGTTTTTGCTTTGGCTGATATTATTTGTATTTTCACTCTTGCATTGGTTTTGAAATAAAAGCAGTCAAAAAGAACTGGGCCGTCATGAAAAACAAGTTCATTGTTGCAACATAAATCTTCCACATGAAAAAATACAGATAATTGGAAATCAGGCAATGAACCTGATTGAAAAGTCGGTTTAAACATTGTTTTTAGAAAAAATTCATACTTTTCATTTTAGATGATCTTTTTCTGAATACTGTGGCATACTCTGTGGTGACTAAATCAATAAAATATTAACAAATCTACAAAATGTGAAAGTCATCCTGTAACCAGGACAAAAGTCTGAATGTGAGTGTGAATGTGAGGAAAGAAGATTAAAAGGAAACAGCATGAAAGTAATTTAATATAGAACTGCTGTATAAATCAGAGTTAAAGTTGACAATTAAATAGGGAATTTCATTTACGGATGTTCCTAATATTGTAATGAACAGTAACTTATAATTACTATGGCCGCTCAAAAGAGAGTGTCAACTATAATTGTAAGAATATACTCTAGGAATAGCGTTCAATATTTATGTCATCTATTGCCTTCAACTTCATGAAATTATTACGATATTAAGCTAAACAATCAATTAACTTTTCATCAGATTTATACAAAAGAATAATGTACAAGTACCAACAATTAAATTGTAACAAAAATAACTCATAACATTCGTTGATGTATTAACTCAATTATATATTATACTCAGGCCCATAGCCAAGGGCGAACCCCACCCCCCTGGCCAAAAATTCTTTTCAAAATCATGCAGTTTTTCACCATTTTGAGCACTTCTCAAGTGATTTTAGCCATATTTGGGTCAAAATTGTCAAATGTGAACCCTCTCCTGGAAATTTTTGAAAACTGAACCCCCTTGGCAAATTTTGGCTAGGGGCTTGATACTAAAGCCTATGGAGGTTTTGGTTTGGCAAATGAACAAAGACACTGGTGATCCACTCGATTACGCTGGTTACCAAAACGAACCGTTTTGGTAACAAAATGTCGGAACGTCGAAGGCACGATTTTTCTTTTTTCCTTATTTCACGCGTTGTAGGCAGAATCCCCACGACGTTTTTTCTCACAACGTGCATCAGTATCATATGTTTTAGAAAATGTACATGTTTGCGAAAAAAATAGCTCAGAGGACAACAGAATCGTCGATTTACTTCCTCACTTAAGTTACATAAACGGTTTTTCGAAAAACAGTTAAGATCTGCACTTTTAACCCAAACCGTTTATGTAACTTAAGTGAGGAAGTAAATCGACGATTCTGTTGTCTTCTGAACTATTTTGTTCGCAAATATGTACACTTTCTTAAACATATGATACTGATACACGTTTGTGTTAAAAAATGTCGTGGGAATTCTGCCTACAACGTGTAAAATAAGGAAACGAGAAAAATCGTACCTTCCGGATGTTCCGACATTTTGTTACCAAAACGAACCGTTTTGGTAACCAGCGTAATCGAGTGGATCACCAGTGAAAGAAATAATCCCCAATATGATAATACTGTGAGAAGTTACAATGTAAATCAATTATTCTAACAGGAAGTTTTACAATTTCCTCTACTTTTCGTTCAATATACATCTCATTCCAACTTTAGCGCTGTAGGAAACAAGTAAACATATTGCTTTATCATCCATCAGTCTTTGTAGGCCAGAAAATAATGAAATGTGGGTTAGTATAATGGCATAAAAATGGGCTTTTAGTATATAGTAGCATATAATATAGGTATTGTGCTGTAGTACCACTCCCCCCTAGAATCCTGTTTTTGCAGTGTGGATGAAATTGACTTTCAAGTGTGGAATTGCAAAATCAAGAATTCTGATCAGTTTCTGTAGAATTGACATGTTTTCTGAAAGTATGAATAATCAGCTTTACCTTGGTAATTTAAGATATCACTCACAAGTGACAAAAATATGCAAAATCAATTTGAAATCCCACAGAATACTCGTAGAATTAGTCTTTGCCTTTGCAGAATTCACTAATATCACTTGTAGAATTCAGAATTTCAACCATGTGAAAAACTAGGGTGAGTGTGGTA